AAAAGGAAAAATGTGTCTGTGAGTACAATTCTGTATTTCTTTGAAATGTGACTAAATTATAGTGCAATTTCTTAGATTTCTGCTATTACTTAAGAAGACAGATATTTTAACTCTATTGCAACATTTTTATTAATAGATATAAACAGTAGAATGAAATTTTATTGAGTACTAAGATAGTATATAATCTTTAATTACAAGCCAAGTATTTTTTTTTCAGAACCATTTGGTATAATCTCATATTGATCCACCACAGTTAAAGCTGACCTGTTCCTTCAAATAACATAGACTGGAGAACAATCCTATAAAATGATCAGAGATCAAAATGAAATAATAGTTGTCTAATGCTCCACAGAGTAAGTGTTGTCTATCTTAAAAATATCCCAGCAGGTATTATTTAATTGGCTGATTTTTCCCAAAATCTGTCCTTCAAATTCCAGGCCTTGGAATTTGATATCACCATTATCTCAAATTTATTCAGATGGAGACTTATGTATTATTATCAGCCAGGATCTAATCTGAAGAACTACACAGTGATTTGGACAAAGAACATTACAGATAAACATTAACTGTATCAGAACCTTGGAGTAATGACATTGATTAGTGCTAAGTAAAGAGGGCTGGAAAATAATACAGCAATAAGAGATATAAGGAGCATGCATTATCTTAAGAGCTGAGATTGAGCATCCAGGAAAAGACCCCAGGACTGAAACCAGGCTGTTGGCATCACTATGTTTCACAGAATTGCAGAAAATTCTATGGTACTCCTTTGCTGAACACTCAGGACAGTCTTCAAGGGGGAGCATACCATTGGAGGCACTTGATTACACAACCATCCTGGGGGTGCTAAAGGAATCTCCTGGCCATTGGATGTGTTGACCACCATATATTTTAGGAGACATTCTGTGAACAAGCCACTCACACTGCAGGGTCATCAGGAGTCTGGTGCTGTGACAGTTGCACAGGCTGCAAAGTTGGTCCTGTAGAAGAAAAGAGCAGGCTTTTCTTTGTTTTGCTGTTCTTACTAACATTTCCCAGGCTTCCCAGGTGGAACAGTGGTAAAGAACCCACTTGCCAATGCAGGAGATTCAGGAGATGCAGATTCGGTCCCTGGATTGGGAAGATCCCCTGGAGGAGGAAATGGAAACTCACTCCAATAGTCTTGTCTTGGAAATCCCATGGGTAGAGAAGCCTGGCTGGCTATAGTCTGTGTGATCACAAAGAGTCACACACGACTGAGCATGCATGCACATTGGTATTTCCAAATATCCAAAGCAATTGGAGGCAAAAAGAAAACCCAGAGAACTCATCACCATGCTGCTCATCAAGCCCTAGTTCCCTAGTACATCTTCCTTCTTCTCTTTAGCCTTCTTATGCTGGATTGATATGTAATATTTGTCATTCAACCCAGCTTAGATCGGCTTGCTTGAGGCAGAGCAAAGCCATCCATGGACACCAGGCAGTAGTGAAGGAAAGTACAGTCTTTGTTGCCAGGCACCAAGTAAGGAGAACAGTCAGCAAGTGTTCAATAAACCCAAACTTGTCAGTGGCTTTCAAGGAAGGGTTTTTAAAGGCAAGGAAAAGGAGTCATATGCAATTAGCTCATGTGCATCCTTCTGGTTGGTTGGGGGTGAGGTAACAGGATGGTTTTTCAGGAATCTCAAGTATTAATTTTCTGGTCTCCACTGGTCTGGGGTCTCTGTGCTGGTGGTCAGCATGTAGTCAACTTCTTCCCTTTTGGGGGTTTCAGTATCTGCAAAACAACTCCAAGGTATGGCTCAGAATATGACTAAGAGCTCTTGAGAAACTAAGTGTCCTTGATTCTGTTTTTTGGCTAAGTTAATACTACTTTGTCTTGCTTGACTGTTTTCCTAGAACATGGGGGATGGTGTGTCTGTCTCTGGGAAGGCCCAGAGGGTCCTGCTCAGTTTCATGTCTAGGGTTTTCAGCTGGGTAGGAGTAATGGGGAGGAAAGTTCCTACTCCATTTCCCTGACCAAAAGTCTAGCTTTGCATTTAAAGCTGGTTTTCTGTAAGCACTGTTTTTCTGGCCTTTAAATTACTCTTTTGAGACATTATTCTCTAGTTATTAAAAGAAAACTCTTTTTTTCTCTTCTGACACCTACATTGGTGTTTCTTTTTGATTTTTTTCCTTTCCTCTTTCTTTTGCCTTCTTTTTCTCTCTCTTCATCTTTCCCCTTCTACTTTTCCCTCCCTTCCCTTTGTTCACTTCCCTGTTCTTCTTTCCTTAAGTAATTGAACAACTGTTTATCACTAACTTTTTCAGTGATATCACCTTCATGTTTATATTGGTTTTGAAATATTAAAGTGACAGGTAAAAATACAATTGTGGCCAAAGAAAATATAATTTGTCTACACAACCCAAGTTTTGCCAAAATAAATGTTTTCATCGTCAGAAATAAGTTTATTATTTATTTTAAAGCAATGTAACTGGTAGCAAAATGGTACATAGACAATAAACAGAACCAAATCCCATAGGGTTACAAGAACTAATATTGACTTAATATTTATTTTCATGTGCAAATGTAAGTAATTTAAAAAGGCAACCATTTGTTAAAAGGCTTTTATAAGTGTGTTTTTATTTTTTTAATAACAGAAAGACTAATAAACTATCATCATTATAGCAAGCTGATCTGAATTGTGCTAAATATTAAATTTGGACTAATGTTCATAGTCAAAAATAATTATTTTAAAATTTATGAAACAATTTTTTTTATTTTCATAGGAAATATAGTCAGGTCCTACATAGCGTAAAATCCTAGTCTTGGCAACTGTCATAATGCAAAAATACTCAATTTGAGATATTGGAGGAAATAGAAGATTTCATAAGACCTTACATTTATTCCTAAACACAACTGTAATAGGTAAAGGCATGGCAACTCAAAAAAACATCATACTTAAATTTCAATGTGGAAATATGAAACAAGTTCATTAAATTTATTGTTGTTCTCCATTACATATATTAATTCAATTCTGCCTTCAGTTTGAAAAATTTCTATGTGAATATGCTTGTTAAATATATTTCATCTGTGTTTATAGCATATACACATGTACAAGCATACCATCTTTGTTTTAAGCTGTGTTTCTATTTCCTTGTTTGGTTAAAGAGAATTAAATATAGGGTCTCCCTATTTTAGGGGAAATTCTTGGTGTTCATGTTGTTCTAAAATGAGAGTAACGTAAAACACTAAACAAAAACAACAATAGGCATTTCATATACTCAAACCCAAATTATACAACAGCTGTAATCTATAGTTTCACATTTTATACTTTATATTTTATATTCACAGAATTATGAAGGAATATTAGATTTTATTTATTTGTTACCTTTAATCCTGTTTTCTTTTTAATTTACCTGCTTCTTTGTGTAAAGAAATGATGCCACATCTCTTTCTAGTTTTAAATGTTCTACTTTCTGTTGAATTAAAATTCAAAGCAAAATTCAGAAAAAAAAAATTGGAACAAAAATATCTTTTAAAATTTGTCAGTATCTCTTTCATGGGAATGACAGCACATTTCAATTACCTTTTGAACTAAGCTCTGTGTTTTTCAACCTGTTTCTGAAGGGGATTAATGCAATACAGGTAAGAGCACTGGAGTGACCAAGGGTCAACTTTTCTTTTATGACAGTCAAATTCTGTATGGTCTGCATTAAATTTAAATGGCAAAAACTACCTTTGCTTTTTGGCCACTCCACACAGCTTGCAGGATCTTAGTTCTCTGACCAGAAATAGAATCCAGGCCCTTGGCAGTGAAAGCACAGTGGCCTAACCACTAGACCACCAGGGAATTCCCCCAAGCTACCTATTTTTAGTTGTATGTTTTCTGTACAATGTCAAAGTACAGTTAAATTAGATAAAAATTTTTATATGGCATTTTTTGGAATATGATTACTTCAATGCTAAAGGCATAAAGGAGGACTTCTAATGTTTTGAAATTCTTTGTATTCTATAAAAAGCATAATTATGCTTCTTTTAAAGTATCCTTCTAATGAAATATACTATATAGATATATAAAAATTGTTAAAGTTCAAGATTTTAATGAAAATCATTACTTAATACTTGTTTCAATTCTTGGAGTAAATTTAAGTCGACAAATGTGTGTCAAGTATTTTCCCTATGTTAGGTATTCTCTTAGGAGAACAATATGTTAGGAGAACAATAAATATTTGCTTTTATACTTTTCTTGGCATACAATGTGTGCCAAACATAAAGTTAGGGAAAATTTCATGTAGTCAATATTTATTTTTGTTTGTTTTGATTTCTTCAGAGTAATAAAACATGCTATCAACACGGCAAATTCTAAAATGGATATCATATCATATGAAAAGGCAACAAAAAGGTTAAAATGACTGAGGGATTCATATTCTAAAGCAAACTATGATTCTTACACAGAAGTCAGCCACATAAATGTGTTTATCTGTGTAGAGAAGACTAGACACAGTATGATGAGCTGTTTTTATGGAACAGCAATGTAATAGGACACATTTAATTTTAGGAGGAGCAACCATCTTCTATGTCCATTGGGATGCACCAAATATAGTTAGATTTCTAGTTTACTTTCATAAAGCCTCAATACTTTAAAAAAAAAAATTGGCTTCTACAGTTTGCATCATTGTCAAACAAGGAAACATCAGGTTTAAATTTTTGTGTTCTGACTTAGGTTTTCAAGACCATTCCATTGATATCTTTCAAATATTAATAGGAGGAGTACCAACAAGCAGTACTTCAAGTTTCAAAATACTCTATACTTCCAGGAGAATACATTTTTTTTTTAATATGAGAGAAGTGGATATATTCCAATCTAGTTTATTTCATGCCAGCAATGCTTTTTCTTTCCTAAGATCTAAAGTTGTTTCAAGCAACATCCTTGGAGGGAAAAAAAAAAAAAACAGTTTATTATTTTCTTTTTATCAAAGCTGAGTTTCCTCTCGAGAGTCCTGAACCATGGTGTTGCAGATGCTGTTTTTTCGACTGGGTTCACTGTTGGGTAGGTAAGCCAGTGGATCCGGTCGGATTAAGTATCTAATAAAAGAAAACAAAATAAATGACTGCAGTAACAACTAAAGGCAAAGCTCATCCATCCTGACACTTTAGATTGTTACTTCAAGTTTATTTGTTTAGTGTTAATGGTTATCAGAACTTGTCTCCATATATGTCTCTCTAATGTTGGTGAAAGGACTTGCTGTTTATTTGGTCTGTAACATTTTGCAGGGCTGGTATTAATTCTATACCTAAAAACGTTGTGAAGATGAATATGGATGAATGATGAATCATTATCGTTCAGTTGCAATCCATCACCACGTTCACCTTATCAAACATTTATGTTTTATTCTAGTATTTTGTTGATCTATTATTCTTGTTTTTTCTTTTGAACTTTTTATTTTGTATTGTTGTATAGTCGATTAACAATGTTGTGATAGTTTCAAGTGGACAACAAAGGGACTCAGTCATACATATACATATATCTATTCTCCCCAAACCCAGCTGCCACTGAGGCTGTCATATAACATTGAGCAGAGTTCCATTTGCTATACAATAGGTCCTTGTCAGTCATCCATTTTAAATACATCAATTTATTATTCTTTACTTTGGCTATTTTTCTATCAAGGAGACCTAAATACTAGCCATGATTATATCACTTGATTGTTCTTAGTTTTATCATTCATAACTATTAATAATTTGATCAAATTATTTCTATAGTCTTTTAATTTAAATATTCTGTGACTCTAAAAAAATTAATGATTTCCAAAATGCCATGAAGAACATTATGCATAAATAACATTTTAAATGAATTGACCTAAAATTCAGGCTATGCTATAGTAAGCAACTGGACAAAAAAATTATCCTTAATTCACTCTATTAATAAATAGGTAAGTGTTCATCTGCCAAACTCACACATTTCCATGTTAGAACTTGTTTCAAGAAGCATGGTTTACTTCAGACTGTCTAATGATATGAGTGTCTTGAGCTTCTCTAGACTACAAGCTAGGATCTGGGGATATGAAAAGCCACACTCTCTGACCCCTGCAGAGGATTTAATTTATGAAGCAGATAAAAGGATGAAAAAGAAATTCCAAACACCACAGAAAGATGAAAAGAACAACAGACAATGAGGGAATGTGTTATTGAGGGGTTTAGGTTGATGTCTCTCCAGGTAGAAGTGGAGTGGAAATGGGACTGAGAAAAAAGTTCCATCTCAAGGATGACCTTGGCATGTTCAGAAAATGAGTTTGACTTCAGAGGAATGGTTAGATCAGGAAAGGACAGGAGATGAATTCATGAAAGAACCTAGAAAGATGCTTACAAAGGACTTTCAGCTTCAGGATAAGTTTCCATTCCTGTTCTAGAGCCAGTGGGAAGCCATGAGCACTTGGAAGTGAGAGGTGGAAAGTGAATACATGTAACAGAGCTCCTAAAATGTCTTGTTCAGATGCAAATGCAATGGGTATTTCATCACTTTGTAATAATGTTAGAAGTTACACAAATAAATTCAGGAACTAACTCAAAAGTGGAAACTATAATGAAGATTCGTACTTAAAGACCAAAAGGAAGATACTCATAAATATGTCTGAATTAAAGGACATATTTATGAATACTGGGTCATAGATGTTCTGTTTTATTAACAAAGGCCAAAATCTTTGACTGTGTGGATCACAACAAACAGAAAATTCTTAGAGATCGGAATACCAGACCACCTGACCTGTCTTCTGAGAAATCTGTATGCAGGTCAAGAAGCAACAGTTAGAAACAAGAATGGAACAATGGACTGGTTCCAAATTGGGAAAGGAGTACATCAAGGCTGCATATTGTCACCCTGCTTATTTAGCTTCTATGCAGAGTACATCAAGTGAGATGCCAGACTGGATGAAGCACAAGCTGGAATCAAGATTGCCAAGAGAAATGTCAACAACTTCAGATATGCAGATGACACCACCCTTATGGCAGAAAGCAAAGAGGAATTTTAAAACCTCTTGATGAAGTTGAAAGAGGAGAGTGAAAAAGCTGGCTTAAAATTCAACATTTAAAAATCTAAGATCATGGCATCCAGTCCCATCACTTCATGGCAAATAGATGGGGAAAAAATGGAAACAAGAGGCTTTATTTTCTTGGGCTCCAAAATCACTGCAGATGGTGACTGCAGCCATGAAATTAAAAGACACTTCCTCCTTGGAAGAAAAGCTATGACCAACTTAGACAGCATACTAAAAAGCAAAGGCATTACTTTGCCAGCAAAGGTCTGTATAGTCAAACCTATGGTTTTTCCAGTAGTCATGTATGGATGTGAGATTTGGACCAAGCCGCTATGGAGAACAGTGTGGAGATTTCTTAAAAAACTGGAAATAGAACTGCCATGTGACCCAGCAATCCCACTTCTGGGCATACACACTGAGGAAACCAGATCTGAAAGAGACACGTGCACCCCAATGTTCATTGCAGCACTGTTTATAATAGCCAGGACATGGAGGCCACCTAGATGCCCATCAGCAGACAAATGGATAAGGAAGCTGTGGTACATATACACCATGGAATATTACTCAGCCATTAAAAAGAATTCATTTGAATCAGTTCTAATGAGATGGATGAAACTGGAGCCCATCATACAGAGTGAAGTAAGCTAGAAAGATAAAGACTAATACAGTATACTAACGCATATATATGGAATTTAGAAAGATGGTAATGATAACCCTATATGTAAAACAGAAAAAAAGACACAGATGTACAGAACAGACTTTTGGACTCTGTGGGAGAAGGCGAGGGTGGGATGTTTCAAGAGAATAGCATCGAAACATGTATATTATCTAGGGTGAAACAGATCACCAGCCTAGGTGGGATGCATGAGACAAGTGCTCGGGGCTGGTGCACTGGGAAGACCCAGAGGGATCGGGTAGAGAGGGAGGTGGAAGGTGGGGATCGGGATGGGGAATACATGTAAATCCGTGGCTGATTCATGTCAATGTATGACAAACCCAATACAATATTGTAAAGTAATTAGCCTCCAACTAATAAAAATAAATGAAAAAAAAAAAAAAAAGAAGGTTGAGCACTGAAGAATTGATGCTTTTGAACTGTGGTGTTGGAGAAGACTCTCAAAAGTCCCTTGGGCTGGAAGGGGATCAAACCAGTCAATCCTAGAGGAAATCAGTCCTGAGTATTCATTGAAAGGACTGATGCTGAAGCTGAAGCTCCAATACTTTGGCCACCTATTGCGAAGAACTGACTCATTGGAAAAGACCCTGATACCGGGAAAGATTGAAGGCAGGAGGAGAAGGGGCTTACAGAAGATGAGATGGTTGGATGGCATCACCAACTCAATGGACATGAGCTTGAGCAAGTTCCAGGAGTTGGCGATGGACAGGAAAGCCTGGCATGTTGCAGTCCACAGGGTTGCAAAGAGTTGGGCAGGACTGAGCAACTGAACTGAACTGATGTGCTTTAATAAAAATGAGAAGAGCAATTTAAAGCACTGTAGTCTATTTTGTTCCATCAAATGAAAGTTGAAATTGGCGTCCTTGGATCTAATGACTGATTTTTGTTATCCATGTGCCTGCTTTATAATTACTATGAATATCGATAGCATGGTAGATCAACGAAGGAAACTAATAGTGCCCATTAAACTTTTTATCGCCATATCATCTAGTGATTTATGGTTCTTTGAATCAACTTAATGTTGTGCCTTCAATTAAAATGAACTTTTGAATGCGGTTCTTTAGAAAACCATACAAAGCTTGGGTATAATCCATTATCCCCTAAATTCATTGATTCAGCTGCAAAAATCCCCTTCCATATTATAACGACTACTAAACTTATGAGCCTAATAAAAAATAAATTTCTCAAATGTGCTTTTTGTACATCTTGTCATGGTAGCTTATTTTTTGCTACAGTTATACTAAAATTTAATTATCTCAATGCCCAAAATACAGGACATGGCAAAAGAGTCTTTTTTGTTTTTTTTAAATAGTAGTCAACTTGATGGTTTAGCTTAAAACTAATACAAATAACAGTATCTAAAAGGCAGAAAATTCCATGCCTAGTTTTCCTGTATATACTGTAACATCCATATTTTATTTTTATGTTTGCATTTTAAAAAGTTTCAGGAATTATTTTGAGTCACAAAATCTATTTGATGGAAGGCTAGGTACATATATTCAAAAGGTTAACATGATCTTACCATTTCATGAAAAATAATCATGAAAAATAATCATATTAGTCTCAAAAAACTTATGATTTGTTATGAAATAAAAATAAGATATCATTAATTTAAAAATATATATGTATAATTGAAACTTTGAAGGAGAGGCATACAAAAGTTGGGACTACAAGGGCAGACTGTATAAATAATAAAAATTGCCTGATTTTATGAGTCAAAGGAGGAAAGATATGTGTGAATACGGACACAGGTAAAACAGAGCAGATTTATCATATTTTAATTATATACAAAGTACAGCCTCCAGAATGGGCAGTTGAAAGCCAAGTACATCACAAATAAGATATTTTCATCTAACTTAAAGTGCTCTATGAATTCATCATCACCACTGGCTTACTCCTAGCCTTACATCAACAGCTGTCAAAACGAATTCATCATCACCACTGGCTTACTCCTAGCCTTACATCAACAGCTGTCAAAACGACTTTTCTAAATTTTTGTTACTTTCTTGCTCATATATCCAAGTGCTCTTACTACTAGAAGACTGAGCATAAATTCTTTGTTTTCTAATCTAAGGTCCTTCCAAAGTCAGGTTTAGTATGTTTCCAATACTGCAAACAACTGACTCATTTGAAAAGACCCTGATGTTGGAAAAGACTGAAGGCAGAAGGAAAAGTGGATGACAGAGGTTGAGATGGTTGGATGGCATCACGGACTCAATGGACATGAGTTTGAGTAGGTTCCAGCAGTTAGTGATGGACAGGGAAGCCTGGCGTGCTGCAGTCCATGGGATTGCAAAGAGTTGGACACAGCTGAGTGACTGGACTGAACTGAATATCATGTTTAACTAGTTATAGCAATGCACATGCTAACAATACAAAGCTTTTACTCTGGTCACACTAGGCTCTGTAGTATTGCCAGCTGGCACACATTATGCGATGTCCAGGTAGTGCATTTTCTCAAGCCATCTCCCTGTTCTGGAATGTTCTCTCCTCACCACCTACACAAATCCTATCTACCCTAAGAGTTAGTTCAAGTCCCCCATCTTTATAATTAGAGTAATGCACAATAATGCCTTCTTTCCTGAGTGTAGAAAAACACTATCTCATTTAATCCGTGCTTAAGTCATGTGACAAAGTCATGATATATAGACCACACTTTTAAAGCAGCACTTTAACACTTTTATGAACATGCATAATATGAATTACTACCATAGACCCTTTCCTAATAAAGATTTTGACCAATTTTACCTTGGTTTTGAGAAAGTCTAAGGGATTTAGAATTAGCTAGTGTGGGATATTTTAGGTTTTCCTTTGAACTTCTTTCTTCTTTTTATTCCACAGATTTTCTATCATTTGTCTAAATGTATATATTGAAAACAAAATTCAAGCTGTCTTCTATACCTCTACCATCCTATGATGCTTTTGTATAGTATGACACACAGCAATACACAATGCAGTGCACAAAATGCATTTATTTATTGAACACCAAAATTAGACTTTGATTTTCTAAGTATTTATATCACAAGAACAATATGGTGCTATTATGGGGAAATAAAAATATAAAAATAAATAAATTTGTGGTTTTCTGAAAATACAGGCTCTATGTGAAATACATCAACTTACACAACATCATTCAGCTCCAGTCTGGTGTCTGGAGATGGGTTTATCAGGATGTAGGAGAGGGTATTTTGATGATCATTCATTTCATCTAGAAGATAAATAAATGCCAAATTAGTTATGCCAGTTACAGAAAATTATGGGAATTATTGCAGAGCATCTTACCTTCAAACCACATAGCTTTCAATAATAACTTGCTATAGTTTTGCCCACAGCATGACTGTTTACATAACTTTGACTATTTTCAAATTACTGCCACTGGAAATATCTGACAGGTACTCATTTTTTGTTCCAATAGATGTTAAAAAATAAAGTATCTAATTCTGTTCACAGCAACCACAATTATAAGCTACCTTGTAAGCTATTACGCTAATACTTTTTATAAGTCTAAAAAAGTACTTTTATTACAGAACTGGCTAGATAGGATGTTTACTTGATTTTTCTATGCTTTAATAATTATAAAAAATTGTGCTTATAGATGGCCATCCCAGTCAGGAACATTCATATGGAAAATACTGCAAAAAAAATCATCTAATGACATTGTGTTTTAAAAAACACAACAGATATGTATCTAAATAGCATGAAAACCCTAAGTACATTTGACTTCCTTACATAATATGTCTGATATAAAACATGGTAGTATTCTGGAAGAATGCAGAGTCCTGTGGATCAGATTTAACTGTAAGTTTCAAGGGAAGTGTACCACTGGATCATTTGCTTTTTCTCTAAAACAATTCATATTCTAAAAATAAACACCTGTGCCCTTTAAGTTTTGTCAATTCATTCTGGAGACATCATCAGACTTCAAGTTTGGAGAGTTGACTTGGCATTGGAAAGGAAAAGAAAACAGCTTTGGGATTGAGGTTTTTTAGCTTCCAAGGCTACGAGAAGGTGTAAATACAGAGGCTCACAGACACATACTCGATAAATATTAATCCTCCAAAGAGTAAAGTTTTTAAGCTGGAAGGGCACTGTTTAAAAGCCTGCTTGAGAGCCATAGTCCTCTCTAGCTACTTCAGTTAAGATAAGCTTCGCTCCTAAAAGTGTTATTAAATTTTCCAGTTTGATCCAAAAATCTAAAACTATATTTCATACGAATAGAGATACATCAACATGAAGATAACTGCATAAAATTAAAGATAATTTTAGGCCAATATAGATGATTCTAATAACTTTCGACACTGGAAAATATATATTATTTTCACAAAATAGTATCTACCACAATGTGCTTCTAACCAGAAACCTGTCACTGGACTGTGAAAGATAGTATTTTCAGTTATGATCTTTCAAGTTGATATGCAGATGTGACATTTTTAAGTCTATAAATAAAAATCCCCATCTTACAAGGAAGTTAAACTGCAGTATAATTGAAGCCTCCAGTAAGTTTGCCAGTAAAATTATTATAATCATAAGATTATCAAGTTAATATTCAAATAAAGGAATATATTTAGTTGTATAGCCCTGGGGCAGACACAAGGAATTGTATCCTGCCATGGGGATAAGATTGCCAGGCAAAAAGAGAATGCCCTGTGAAATCTGAAATTCAGACTAAAAATTAACAAGTTTAAGCATATTTATATACCAAATATTGAATGTTACATGCTTATACTAAAAATCATTTGTTGTTTATCTGAAATTCAAATTTAACTAGGCATCCTATAATTCTTTTTGCTAAATCTTCCAGTCATACCTGGGGGTGTGTGGTTACCCCTAATTCAAAAAGCCGGGGCTTGGAATTCCATTGAGTATATGACAAGCTTACTTCAAATAAGGTTTGGTTTCACCTCAAAACATATTGTACTGGCAGGAGATTACCAGGATCCTTTTTTTATACAGAAAGCAATTTTGACATACGTATTCTTTTTGAAAAATTTCTCCTTTTGTATGAATTTCCACATAGGCTAAACAAAATACCTGCAGTTAATAGTGCATCCTGGAGACTGAAGCATGATACCCTGAAACGTAAGAGGTCATTAGAAAATCTCCACCTCTTTTTCTGTTTTGCATATAGGGTTATCGTTACCATCTTTCTAAATTCCATATATATGCATTAGTATACTGTATTGGTGTTTTTCTTTCTGGCTTACTTCACTCCGTATGATGGGCTCCAGTTTCATCCATCTCATTAGAACTATTTGACAAAAACCACTACAATATTGCAAAGTAATTAGCCTCCAACTAATAAAAATAAATGGAAAAAAAAATAAAATGGGACTAAAACAGAAAAAAAAAAGAAAGAAAGAAAATCTCCACTTCATTTGGCTCTCAACTACCATCTAGTCGATAACGTGGAAAAGTAAAATAAATACATATCTGTACAAATTCCAAAAGATTTTGGAAAAACCTTATGTATTTATTTTCATTTTAATAGTTTGAATATACTACTTTAAGAGCTTCCCAGTTGGTTCAGAGGTAAGGAACCCGTCTGCCCACGCAGGAGACAGTCGGGAAGATCCCCTAGGGGAGGGAATGGCAACCCACTCCAGTATTCTTGCCTTGGACAGAAGAGCCTGGCAGACTACAGTCCAGTCCATGGCGTCACAAAGAGTCAGACATAACTTAGCAACTGAGCACGCATACTACTTTAAGCTTAAAGGGACTTCACCTGAAGTAATACCTGAGATTGAAGAAAAATGTATTGAACATATTATCTGATTTAAAAATAAGTATTGTTTTCAGTTTTGCTGCTATCCTCTAGTACCCCTAAACGACTTACAGGAGGCATTTTTATCATTAGTTGATGATCATAATTTGTCACATGATTTTTGTTATTTTGTTCTCCAGTTTGGTCATTTAATAATGTTAATTAGGCATGATCTTCCCTGGTGGCTCAAATGGTAAAGAATCTGCCTGCAATGTGGGAAACTTGGGTTCAGTTCCTGGGTTGGGAAGATCCCCCAGAGAAGGAAATGGCTACCCACGCCAGTATTCTTGCCTGGAGAATTCCACGGACAAAGGAGTCTGGCGGGCAACAGTCCATGGGGTCGCAAAGAGACAAGACTGAGCGACTTTCACTTTCACTTGCAGGTATGATTGGTCATAAATAATCCTAAATCTGGAGACAATGATGAACAAGACAGGCCAAGTCTACAGATTCACCTATAACAAGTTAGCTCTAAACTTTCTATATGATTTTAAGCATATCATTTATCTTAGGATATTCATGAATATTCTGTTGAAATTCACTAATTCCAAATGCACATGCAGTGAATTTTGACACTGCATAGCATAGTGCAACCTCTATCATAATTATGACATAGAATATTTCTATAATGACACAAAGTTCCCTTCTGACCTTTTGCAGTTAATTCCTTCCTCTCATGCCCCATCCTTAGAATCACTGATTTCTAGAAACATTCACTCAGCTAGGATCTTACAGTGTGTTTCTGTAAGGTTTTTTTCCCCTTTGTGAAATCTTTTTGTTGAGTATCCAAGCTGTTGCCTGGATCTACTTTAATATTAATGCAGTCATTCAAGTTCTCTTTAGAATTATGATTACATAAAATATAATTATATGCTTTTAATCTATTTCTTTCTTTACATTTTGTTTCTTTTAGACAACATAAAGCTGGGTATTGCTTCTTTTAATCCAATCTGATGACTTCTACCTCTTAATTGAAATGTTTAAGCCATTTAAATGTAATATAAATATTAATATTAATATTATTGCTGTCCTGTCCAATTCTTTAATACCCTGTGGACTGCAGCACAACAGGCTTCCCTGGTATCAAGTATCAATATAGTAGGATTTAAATCTACCATCTTGCAGTTGTATTTCACTTGTTCTGGATGTTCTTTTGCCTCTTTCTTTTATCTCTGCCTTCAGATTAATAGAGGTTTTACACAGTTCTTCTTATAATCATTCTATTTTATTTGCAATATTGGTTATTAGTTATATCTCTTTGATTTTCTTTTCTTTTTTTTTTTGTAGCTTCTCTACGTCATTCGTTGGCAATTGTTTTTTAAAGAACCAAATAGTTAATATTTCAGAATTTTCAGGCCATATGAGCTCTGCTGTACTTAAACTTTTTCAACTGGAAAGTGAAAGCAGCCATAGAAAATGCAAAAATCAGTAAGAATGACTGCTTTTATTTTTTCCAAAAACTGGCATGCTACCATTTGCTGTCCCTTGCTCTAGGGCTTAAAATACACAGCTTTAATTTTTCAGTGTCTACTCTTAAAGAGCACATCATTTTATATGTATTTTAACAAACTTGCGTGTGTGCTGTCACTTCAGTCATGTCTGACTCTTTGCAACCCTATGAACTGTAGCCTTCAGGCTCCTCTGTCCATGGGATGCTCCAGGCAAGTGTACTGGAGTGAGGTGCATGTGCTTCTTCAGGGGATCTTCCCCAACCAGGGATTGAACCCATATCTCTTATGTCTCCTGCATTGGCAAGTAGGTTCTTTACCAACATCACCAACTGGGAAGCCCTTAACAAACCTACTATATTCTATTTCTTCCTTATTACTTATTATTGCCATACTTTTTTCTTCTATATATGTATTATAAACCTTACAATGTTTGTCATAAACGGTAAATTATTTTTTAACAAAATTTTAAAAATAGAAATATACCTTTTACATTTGCCCATATGCTTACTTATTTTGTTTAGATCTAAAGTTCAACCTGGCATTTTTTTCTTCTATCTTAAGAATTTCTTTTAACAATTTCTTTCATACTGCAGAGCTGTTGTTGACAAATTTTCTCAGCTTTTGTTTTTTAAACCTGTACTTACGCTTTTAGTTCAGAAATATATTTTTTTTATGTATAGTATATTAGGTAGACTATATTTTTCAGTACTTGAACCAAGTTTCTCAGTTGTGATTTGGTTTGAGAAGTTTCTGACATGAAGGTCTCTCTTGTCCTTATATTTGTCTCTTCCACATGAAATGTCTTTTTCCTTCTGCTCTTTTTGAGGTATTTTATCAATGACTTCCAGAAATTTTTTTATATTGTGTCTTGGCATTATTTTATTTGTTATATTTATATTACTTTGGCTTCACTGAGCTTCTGAGATCTTGAATAGAGTTCCCACCAAATTTGGACAAAAAATGTTGATCATTATTTCTTCAAATATCCATTCTCTT